ATTGGGGCATAAAACATGGCAGAGTTAAAAAAAAAAAAAAAACCCACGGAGGAAGTACCACCTTTAATCCCAGCACTCAGGAGGCAAAGGCAGGAGGATCAACCTAGTGAGAACCTGTAAATACCACATAACGCATCCAACAAAATAGCTCATACTTTATTGAGGTTTATACAGAATATAGCAAAATGTACACTGTCCTCTATTCTTAAGCAGCTTAAATTTTAAAAAAAAAGTTTTTTAAACATGTTTTGGGGGGTGTGCATGCAACAGTGCATGTCTGAAGGTCAAAGGACAATTTGTAGGAGTCAGTTATCACCTGAGTTCCAGAAAATGACGGCACTTTGTGGTTGTCATGCTTGGCCTCGGGCACCTTTACCTACTGTGAACCATCTCTCTTGCTCAAAGAACTTGTAAGTTTTTAATCAACAGATAAAATTCAATACTAAATTCCTCCAATCAGAAACACTGAGTAAACGTGCTATCAGATTTAACTAGGATTCAATTCACTTTGTGAGTTCCCAGCTGTTCCTCCCACCTACGCAATCACTTGAAAACATGAACATGCCTGATAACCCTAACACACTTGGAGCCTTCAAAGGGGGAAACAGGATTTTCCCAGCATGGACACCATTCTACAAAATAAGTCTGCCTTCCTCGGGGAGCTACACACATAAAGACGGGAAGAGAGCTGTCCAGTTAGAGCTGTCCAGCTATGTGGCCTCTCTCCCTGTGGACACCTAGTCAACCTCTGATCTTAGTGTTTAAAGTACTTTGCATAAGAAAGCCCCTAATGTGAGCCAACTCCTTCTTTCATCTGCCACTCAATTAAAACTTATTTTTAGAGTTCCTGGAGGAAAAAACCAGCTATTTGTACTTCTGAAATGCACACTTAGAAATTACTTTGAGTAATCTGTAAGTACCTTGACTAATACTTTCGTTTAGTTTAAATCATGCATGCTAACTTCCCAACCTAAATGGATTTCCCCCATCCCCCCTTTCTGGGACCTCGTCTCATCATATAGCCTTGGCTGGCCTGGAACTCACTGTGTAGACCAGGCTGGCTTCAAACTCACAGAGATCCACTTGCCTCTGCCTCCCAACTGCTGGGAATAGGGCATGCTCCAACCTGGACCTTCGCCGATAATCTTCAATTTTTTTTTTAAGTCAATCCCATTCATTTTTTCTTTGTTATACCTGAATCCTGAAACTTGTATTTTTGATCTGTATTATCGGATTTAATTTCAGACTCAGAACTAGAAGAAATTAGTCTTGTAAGACAATTCTTCCCAGCTCACAGGGCTGCCTGCTGAGACATCCATTCAGTGAGCTCCACAATACTATAAATTCCTTACTCACCGTTGAAAGTGAATATTTTTACAAAGGCTCTCATGGAATTGTAAAAAATGATCTAAAAAGACTTTTGTAAAGTGACTCTAAAACTCAGTGAACAAAAACTCGGGCAAGGGTTAGCTCAGAGTATCTTTTTAAAAAAAGGAAAAAAACAAACATAACATCACTTCAGCATCTCTGGTCCTCAGAACCCTCAGTCAGTGCAGGCTGGAGTGCTGAATCTCACAGGTCTTCATCTGTAATTGCTTTCCAGTGGTCTCCAGAGGAATCCCATCCAATTAAGCCTCCTTTCAGAATTTATTTTTAGACACAATTATTTTAAATTGTATCCTTTTATATTATTTTTATAACCCTTATCCTTGCTATAGTTCCATTTTTTTTCTTTAAAAAAAAAAAAAAAAGCCAGGTATGGGGATACACACCTTTAATTCCAGCACTTGGGAGACTGAGGAAGGTGGATCTCTGTATTTGAGGCCAGCCTGGTCTATAGACAGAGTTCCATTATAGCCAGAGCTACACAGAGAAACCCTGTCTTGAAAAACCAAAACAAATAAGAAACAAACAAGACAACAGCCCTACACATGCCAGTCATGGCAGTGTAAGCATGGATCCTATAGTGCTTTGGAGGCTAAGTTCAAGGTCAGCTTGGGCTATACAGTGAGTTCCAAGCTAACCTAGAGTACATAATGAGATGCTGCTTCCAAACAAACCAATATACATTCAACATATGCCATATATCGGTATGAAAATGCCATTATGGGGACCAGAGAGATGGCTCAGGGTTTAAGAGCACTGACTACTCTTCCAGAAGACCTGAGTTCAATTCCCAGCACCCACATGGCAGCTTATATCTGTCTGTAACTCCAGTTTCAGGGGCCCTGACACCCATGGCAAAAACACCAATGCACATAAAATAAAATATATAAAGAGAATAAAGGTAAAGCATTAAAAAAAAGAAAATGCCATTATATAACATGGCATTTACAACATACACAAGGAAAAAATTTTAAACTATGCATATTTAAAATTTTACTTTTAATAACAATTGCAGTAATATTTAAAGCATTCTTTGTGGTTTTGAAAAAGAAATAGATAGAAAACAATTTTTTACATACACTGAGGTATACAATAATGAGGCTGCTGCCTAAGATCAGCCTACTCAGGGCCAATGATAAAAGTTTCTGTCTTATCAAGATGCAAATCCCTAAAGCCCACATCATATTCACAGCATATAATTCTTGTTTTCTTTTAAATGTCTAATGTAGAATGATAAATGTACCCTACAGTAAGACGTGACTTTTCAGATATTTGAAATTAAAGTAATAAATCTAAGAATCAGGTTTTAATAACATTCCCTGAAATGCAAATGTTCTGTATAAAACACGGAAATCAAATACAAAGATACAAATGACACATCCTAAGAAAGCATGGTTTACCCTTTTGTCTTGGTCTGTATGGCTGTTCCCTTTTCTGTTCACATGCATCTTTGAGGACCTAAGGACAGCAAAAGTACCCTCTTCCCAGAGCTTCCACACTTAATACATCAAAAGGAGGGGTCATCCTGGGATCTATTAACTCCAGGGAATCATGGGGTGCCATGAATACAGTATGGGGAAGACAGCTTTGAATTATAAAGCCTTTGGTAATCATATACCCTCCAATGAGGACAAAAAGGGTGTCAGATAGGCAGTGGGAGCCTGAAGATACAAATTATGGCTGCTTGCAGTACAGTGTCATTAACTGGTCACAAAGCCTGCCTTTGCTACATGCCCAGTACTGCCGTGCAATCTGAAGACCCCAGACACAGTAGCACTCTCTCATCTCATCCCTACAATGACCTCCAAGTCTTATCTAGACTCTGTAGGGTGCTTTGATCTAGTTAGCCACTGTTGACAAGTAGCCATCAAGTCTGCCCTTTAATACCTTCTGTGATAGTGATGCAGGGCTTCAGCTGGCAGCCCATTCCAACCTGAAAACTACGGGATTCTTTTCCAATTTGACTAGCCTGATTTGTGGACATTCTTTAGTGGCATCCTACCCTATTTACCTGTCAAGTTTGCTGAAAAATGCCTCCTATTTGGAACTTAAAACATACGAGGAGTCAGTATTGGCTCAACTGAAGAAAGGCACAAAGTTCCCTGATGCCCCTTTAGGCTTTTTTTCTAGGTAATTAATCTGCATAAGCATTATTTATTAAGATTATAGTTACTCAAAAAAAACCTCAGTCCTGTCTACAAACAGCTCATCCCCTACAATTCTATTTATAATTGTGATTTCATAACAGTCAATCAAAGTGATGTAAATATAGTAGAAATCATTATTTATTCATTAAAGCCTGTTTTTTGAGAATTCCAACTTGTCTAAGTCACCTTTAACACCGGTAGGGCACCCTTTTAATCTCTAAACTCAGAGGCAGGTCTCTGTGAGTTCCTGGCCAGCCTGAGCTACACAGCCAGACTCTGTTTAAAATAACAAAAACAAAAATTAACTAAGTAAATAATTAAAAACTACAATGTATTAATAAGGTCTATTTATCACACTTAAGGAAATTTGATACAAATGACTGTCTCCTTATCCAACAAGAACCATATTGAACAGTTTTCACCCTCAAACGGAGCTGAACAAAAAGGGTTGGTAAATATTTTGCCAACAGTGATTGATTTACCTGAATCAAATAAAAACTATAAACTGACAGTTACTTGGTTAAACCAGCAAAATGGAATTCTCAAAGGCTCCTTGGGGGCTCTTTCTTGAACTGTCTCTAGAGTCAAACAATGGACCCTGTGAAGGAGAAGCCCCCTTGCAATGAGCTCCTTCTTGGTCCTTCAATAATTAAATTCGATGCAGTGGCATAAAGCAGGTTCACCTAAATGAATTCAGTCTAATTTCCCAAATTGTATCAGACTGCTATTTCACCTAAGTTCATATGGTAAATATACAGTGCCCCTCACCCTTGATAAGAAATACATTTCCCTTACTTTCCCAGAATGACCTGAAGCATGTATGCTGATCAAAACCAACAAAGCCTGTCTAAAGTGACACCCCCATACAACCCAACTCAGCACAACTTCATTATATACCGCAGCAAGCACTTTACAGCCCAGGAAGGCAGTCCTCTTTCATAAGGCTCTCCGATAAAATCACCCATCTTATTTAGTCACTTGCTTCTGCCCAGTGAAAAAGGTTTGACTGATCACAAAGTGTGTAGAGCCAAGTTTTCTCGAATATTCTGCGTGATCGCCCTTTACTTCCAATCAGAGTCACAATCAACCCAGTATCTACGTGTACTCAAATTCTGTCAACCTCAAATTAGCTTAATAAAGTGTGATTTAAAAAAAAAACAACAAAAAATAATAATAATAAAAACACTAAGTTTTTTCACGGGCTTCTTAATATAAAAACCTAAATGCTCGAAATAGCTTACTTCCAACTCAATATAGATACCAAGTTTGTCAAGAACTGCCCCACCCCTCGCAAGAGCGGATGAGTGGAACATTTCACTGCACTCCATCACGTAGTCCAGCTACAGAAACTTCATGACCGACGCCAGCTGCACATTCCCCCCAATAACCACCGTCATCAACACCCAGATTCCAGGAGGGTAAGACGTGGTAACACAGACCCGTAATATCACATTTGCAACTTTTCACCTTCATGCTCTCCTCGTTGCTTTCAACAAGTCGTCCCGGGAAGCCGGAGATAAGTATTTGATAGGCTCGAATCACTACCTTACGTAGAATCAAAATAACAAAAGAGGACGCAAAGGGGAGCAGGTCGATGCGTCCTAATACTAACAAATTTCGGGTTTTTAAGCGCAGCACATGCCG